TGGTGAGATTTAATTAAACCTTGGAGTATAGGGCCATGTGCCAAGAGTGACAGGGAATAGTCAAGTAATTAAAATATGGGCCTTGCCCAGAAAGGATAGGAGTGGGAAAGACACGTACACGTGGTTGGTGACAAAGCAGGGACAAGATACCCTGCAGGTAAGGTGTTGGAGTGCTTGTCCTTCAGAGGAGGGGCATGACAGTCGGGAAGCTAGTAGCATGGTCAGTTTTGTGCCGGAGGGTAAGGAGGCATTGCTCAAGCTGCAGGCAGGGACCAGAGTAGGCTGAAATATGCAGACTGGTTCTGGTATTGTGGACAATTGGTCTGAGAGGAGGCAGGTTGTCAGATCCCGGACTGCCGTGGGTTTGGGCTCAGCCTAAGCAGAGATGCTGTACTGCATGTACTTCTATGTCTGTCTTGCAGGAAATGCTGAGGGCTGATGTCGGTGGTTGCTGGAAGGCAGAGCCTTAATGTCAGGGAGGGCACTGGCTGGCTCAGCTATTCAGTGCTCCAGGGAAAGCAAGAGAAGGCAGCACAGGAAGGTTGAATCTGCAAGCCCTAGTGGCCTAATGGACAAAAGGTAGAATGGGGGGTATTGTTTTGGTTCTTTGCCCAAGCTAACCTGGAATTCACGGGCTCATGAGTGCCCCAGCTTCACCCATCTGAGTAGCTGGGACTACAGGTGTGTGTCATGCCCAGCCTGGAAAGAACGTGATTAAGAACTGGCATAATTTTAGGAATGAAGCCAGTGCTGTGGGATTTCCATGTGCTGATGGCAGGGAACTCATTAGAAACACGGGTGTAAGGCTGGGACTGGAGAAATAGATGTGGGAGTGACTGGTGCTCAGCGATCACTGAAACTCCAGGAAGGGCCAGGGTCAGTAGGGAAGAAGCAGGGAATGAATAGTGAAGTGCCTCGGGTGACAGGAGGATGTTGGAGGCTTTGTTCTCTTCTTTTTGGGGTAGGAGACATGAGCGTCTTTATGGGAGGAAAAAAAGGGCTGTAAACTGCTGTGTGAGACCACTGGCTCTGTCAGGGTCCTGAAGATGGGGCAGATCGGCATCAAATGCAGGATTTCAGTGGAAAGGCTGAAGGAGGGCGGGCACCGCTGAAGAGGGTCAGGAGACACAGCATGAAGGGAGGACATTTGGAGTCTGGTGGGGAAAGTGCCTCGTATTCATCTCGGGAAAGTCAGAGGTGAGATGCAGCACTGGGGTGGCAGTGGGGGCTTGTGCCAGCTCCACAGAGTCGGGGACAAGTCTAGTGGAGCCTTCCTGCAAACTGATCCTGCTTTCGTGTGGAAAACTTGATGCTGAAAGCTACTCACGCTTTGCTTTTCATCTTGTTAGCTGCAGAACAGAAACAAAGTGGAGAATATAAGGAAGAAGAAAACACGTGGGAACAGCATGTTAAAGAACAAAGGCAGAAGGAAGAACAGAGACAGAGTGACCTGAGAGAGGCTCTGGAAAGGGAACGAAGAGAGCTGGAGAAACTGGATCAGGAAAGGGTAAGTGATTCGGAAGGCACCTTGAGCTCGGGTTGGTGAGCCAGTAGCATCCTGAAGCCAGAAATGTAGTGGGTGACCCAAAAGGAATCCCTGTCCTCGGGTGGTTGTACTGCAGTGAGAAAGGCTGCAGAGTGCACACCCTCGTAGGGTCACACACACACCCTGTGAGTGTCACATACCCTGTGTCATGGTAGAGGACAATTTGGGAAAGTGCTTTTACATACACTCTTTTGGTCCTTAAAACAAGCCCACTGAGGAGGAAGGGAGACCATGCTTTGGTGTGGAACACCCCTTTGTAAACGAGGTTTAATGAACAAGCTCCCAGGTCAGCCAGGTGGCCTAGAAGAGCCAGGGGTGGATGAGGCCTCCAGTCCCCTGCTGCTTCAGGCCTTCCTCCTCCCTGTGGTTCTCATTTTGCCTTCTATAGCCTGGTTGTGGTCCTAGACAGAAGGACTACCCTGGCCACTAAGTTACTTGTCAAGTGTTAATCTTCCATATGAATGTTTCTGAGGCAAATGAATCCCTCCTTCTTTGAGATAATATGTTGGTCTCCCTTTGATAGCAGCAATGACTTCAAGTGAAATCTATAGTTCTCCAGCATGCAGGTTGTACCTAAAGGATCAGGATTATATTACTGTGTACTTCTTAAACACCGAAGAACTTAAAAAGAAACGTTTGTCTATTTCCTATTTTGGCACTGATCTCTCTTTTGTTTTTGGTACCGGGGATCGAACTCTGGACCTTGCACTTGCAAGGCAGGAGGCCGAACCACTGAGCTAAATCCCCAGCTGGCACCCATCTCTTTAATAGAGGATGACTGAAGAATCACTGAAGATTGAGATGGAAAAGGAATTAGAAATGAGTGTTCAAGAAATGAAAGAAAAATCAGCTACCAGTGAAAATCTTTTAGAGAAGTACATGAAAATCATCCAGCAAAAGAAAGAGCAACAGACTGCAGATAAGGTGCATGTGCTGTGGTTAAGCCTGTGCTCTGGGGCTGGGAGAGTCGTCCAGGGCTTCTGTGAGTCACCTGCGAGCAGGTATCTGTCCTCTACTGAAGACAGAAAGGTTTAAAGCATAGAAAATCCATAGTTTAAAGGGAGCCTTGAGTCTTTTTAAATATGTCATACTCTTTCAGCAAAATCTCACACATTTTGCTCAGGCAAAAGATTGAAGAGCTTTTGATTTGTCATAGTTTATGTAGTTTCTGGTGTCTCCTGTTAAGAACAAGAAAGAAATCTGTCACTGAGTAACAAGTGCATTGTGAGACAGTAAGTCTGAATTATTGGTGTTAAAATGTACGTTATAGTTTATTTTGACATGCTTGCTAAACTTCATACTTAAAAGTTCTTTTTGAGATTCATATTACATATATATTTCAAAAATAGTTCCTAGATAAATCGGTGTTTTATAAAATGAATTCATGTCTAACTTCTAACCCCCTCCCTCACCCATTGTCAGAGCTCCAAAAAAATGCTCCAAGAAAGCTCCCAAGTGGATACACTGCCATCTAGTGACAAGGATGAAAGGTATGGTTTCCCCAAACTGTTCCTTAGGCAAACCATTGTTACTCATTTTGTCAGACGAGGGAAATTGTCAGGTATTTGAGGTTACCTTTAAGAAACTGTTCAGTCAGCCAAAATTACTGACTTCAGAAAAAACCAATCTATTGTGATTTTTAACTTGTGTGAAACTGATCCTGATACAAATATAGGTGAGGGTGGAGACCCCCACAGGAGAGAAGCGAGAACAAGATGAAGATCTCAAACTCGACGTGAATTTTTAAAATTTCTAATTTTTGTTTTAGTTTCACAGGGTTTTCTCATGAAGAACCAGATGACATTTGGTAATTATGCTAGCCGTCCAGCTCCTTACAACAATGAAGTTACTTAAGATCTGGTCCTATGAAATATTCTCTGTAATCAGATAAAAATTCTCAATAAAAACTGTGCAATCCAGTGTGGTTTTTGTATTTTGTATTTTTATTTTGGTACTGTAGTGTATGAACCAAGAATAACCTAGTCAAGTGAAAGCCCTTCTTTAGCTGTAGAATTTCTCATTCATTACACTCAAATGAACTTTTATTCCCTCCCCATTTTTTGTCTTAGGTTATGCTTATTTGAAAACTTATCTTACTGGTCAAACTCCAGGCCTACATTTGGAAAGTGTTAAGATGTGTGTACTCCCTGTCCCCGGAGTCAGACTGCTACCAGTAAAACAAGGCCCATCTTCCCCAGCACTCTCAGGTTTCCCCCTGCATGTAGACACAGATTTTTCCATTCTAGACTCTAGAAATAGTACTGTTGGCATCAGCTGTGGTTTAAATGTATGTGTCCTTCCAAAATTCCTGTGTTGGAACTTAAACCCTGAGGTGACAGTGAAGACTCACTCTTTAAGGTGCCATCTTGGAAGCCAAGACTCAACCCTCACCAAACCTGGCAGTGCTCTGGTCTTGGACTTCCCGGTCTCCAAAAGAGTAAGAAATATATTCTTCATAAATTACCCAGTGTAAGGTATTTTCTTACAGCAGCAGGAATAGACCGATACAGCATCTTTATTGTGGAATTTTTGGTCTTCCTTTTTAGTGAATGGACTTACTGTTTTTAAACAAGTAGGTTCCTCCCTTATACCTCTAATTTCATTTTCATCTCCTAAAACTTAAGTTCTGTATGGCATAACTGGGGAAAAAAAAATCTCTGCCTTCCAGAGGTTCCTAAATTTGCTAGCAGGATTACTGTCAACAATTAAGAGACTGCTTGTGATCTTATCGAACCATTATTTACAGTTTATTCCTGTGACTTATATAATTACACAAAATGCTACTTAAACAGAAGGTACTAAGCAGTGTGACAAATAGGCTAATTGGGCTCCTGCTTATCCACCGTGTGTGAGTGAAGGGCGATGATCCAGAGCCAGCCCCTCATTTAGAAATGTCACTGTGTCAGTAGTGAGTGACAAAAGCTATTCCTCAGTAAGGTCACATGTAGCCAATCCAAATGCATAATTACACCAACAGATAAGTAGTTTTAAAACATTAGAAAATTCAATCCTACATAACAAATTTAGCTCTGCTAGTCGCTGTTATATTCCCAAATCTTTCACTAGGCTTTTATATTTTAGGTTTGAAAATGAGCCAGTGATACGTGCCCCTTATTAAGGCTCCCCATTGTTTCTACTTTGCCAAAGATTATGTCTTGTGTTAATTGTGTAGGTATATGGTCTTTATTTATTGGAGAAGCTAGTCAGAAAAATCCTGTACTTTTCAAAGATCTATAAAGTACTCCATTTTATGTAAAACACAGCCCAGTGGGTTACAGTATTTTCTCAAATTGCTCTTGCTGAAGAGAGATTTCTGTCAGGAATGAAACATCTAGCTCTTATACATTAGATTTCCACACAAATGTGAAATATTGATTATGCATATTATTTTAAAATGACACCATACTGAGGACAGAGACAGATAGGATTTATGTATGGTAAAAAGGCAAACGAATGAAGCTATAATTTTATTTCATTACTGTTAGTACATCCACAACTATTTCCACCTAAATAGATCTTTAAAATAAGCATACACAAGTATTGACTATTATCTACAAATATTTATTGTAACACTTGAATAGAACTACAAGAAGCCCTTGGCACTGATAGAAAATATTGATTCACTGTTAGGTTACAAAAATTTATACATAGCAAAATTTAATGCTCTTTACATAAAAAATATTAGACTACGTCAACAAAACTTTCAAAAATTCCTGGTAATAGCTACCAGAATTAGAAAAGTAAAATTAGGCTTTAGACACTGCCTCTTCTAGAACACTGAACTCTAAACAGCACCGCCACTGCTGGAAAGAATATTTAAGTTTGTCATGCAAGAGGAAAACAAAACACAAGCTACTTTGGAACACCTGTTCACAGACGAGAGCTTCTCCAAATTAAGAAAACAAATCCAAATAGGCATTTTTAGGCATGACTAAAAAAAAAGAATCCAAATGAAATATACTTGATGTTCAATTTTAATAGTATCTTGATAAAAGTATGCTTCCTTTCATTTGAATACATTTCTACACATGTATATGTTTGGAAATCCAGGAAACAGCCAAACCACAAGTTAACTCTTAACATGAATATACACAGTTAACCCTATAGTATACAGCCCCTTTGAAAAGCACTGATGCACCCAATAGTTACATGGATCATTTCAAAAAGAACAACACAGAGTTTACCATCACTAACACCCAGTACCTATAGTCACTTAATGTTCTGGAACACAATGATTTAGAAGGCAAGTTTCTTTTGAAAATGGCTTAAACTCAAGCAGTTTTCTTGCGGAACATCAAACATTATTCCAGGAAACTTAAGTTTTAGATAAGAAAAAAATGAAATAAATACCAGCCCTAATTTACTTACATATTCAAGTCTATAAAAGTAGGAGGTTAGGCCCAGGGATTTAGCTCAGTGGTTCCGGCGCCTGCCTCGCAAGCGCAAGGTCCCGAGTTCGATCCCCGGCACAAAAAAAAAAAAAAAAAGTAGGAGATTAGAGGTCTGTGGTCAGTTTGTAGTTAGGTTTTAGATAGTTGGTATGAAACTGTAAACTCACTCTCCAGACCACTTAAAATGCTTTAGAATGGTCATTTTAATAAGGTAACACTTCTTAATTAAAAATATTTATGGAACAAAATTCTGTGAAGGATTTTGGGGTCTCTGTTGTAATACAAATTCTTAGAAATTTAAAGCGAATAAATATTAAGGCAGAGCTGACATACTTCCAGAGAAGAATGATAATAACTGGATCATTTTATTAAAATGAAGTCTTATAAAATTGACTCTGGAAAGCTTAATGAGTCAGAATCCAGTTTGTTCAATGGGAAGTTCAACAGAGTTGTAGCTCATTTTAGCATAACTGAAAAATAGATTTCTTATTGGTTCAGGAAATTAATGGATCTAGACTTCAGGGAGTGCTAATTTTTTTTTAAAAGTCAGTTGTAAGAATCACATTATCTTTGATGTGTGTCAAAGTTTGACTAATGTCAGCTGTCAGAAATGGAACTTCATACCAATTCCATTTTATTTCCTTTTATAAATAACGTATATTTGAGGATGGGTGGCATATGTGAATTTATTGTCTCATCCCTAGATGTTGGCATGTCACCCACCAGTCCCTACCAAGGAGTATGACGTATTCCCATCACCTACCTTGGTAGAGTCGCTCTAGCAGTAAGTATGTGCATGCCACAAATTTCAAAGGATGAACAATCTTTTGTCAAAGTGTTGCCTTTTAAAATGGTTAACGTGAAGCCTCCCATATTCTAAAGAAAAAGATTCACCCACTGGAAGATTTTCCTAGAGATACATCCCAGCAGCTTGAGACAGACAGTGAAATGTTGGTACATCTACATTAGTTTGTTTGGTGGATACACATCTGTACTGCAGAGCAGCTGTCTGATGATTTGTCAGAGCTGTAAATTCGTCGGCTGAAACACTGTGGCAAACATTTATGTATAAGAATTGAGTTGTTCTTTTGACCGAGACTGGATATCTTGCAGTTCCTGTTCTTCCTTTGCTTTGATATCCTGGTAAGCCTGCATTTTGCTCGCATCCTTTAAGTAAGCCCAGTTAGAAGACAGTATCATGAGGAAGTGGATCTGGAAAAGAAGGGTGAGCATGATGGCTAGTGAGCACGTGAGAAGGCAAAGCGAGCTGCTAGTCAGATTAGACGCACTTGACTGGGACAGGGCAGTATTAATACTCAGGGCTATTCATTCTGCTCACAGAGCTGTCGGATGCTGAGAGCATGCTGTAACAGGATGCTTCGTATTAAAAGGCCGGAGAAAAGTTAGTACACAAGTAGAGCAAATTGGGGGAAAATGGCCAAAGTTACTGTTAAGAAAAAGCAAAAATGAAATATGAGAGGGTGCTTTTTACCATTTTGAGGGTAACTGTAAAGACTAATGCAGAAGTTGAGAAACACGTGTTCTAAGTAAATGCAGCGCAGAGATCTTTTCAGCCTATGGATAAAAATCAATTCCCCCAAAGGCCTAAAAAAGTGTGAACAGTGTTTATTTCCAGTAAATAATTTAAAAACTACATATTTAACATGGAAAAACTAAAATGTCAAAACCAAATTCAAGAAGTATAGGCAAAGCATGCAGTCTCTATGTTAACAAATTTTTAGTAGTGAAACTACAGTTTTCATTACTGCCATTATTTCACAAAATGTAAAAATCCTTGTTCTCTATAGTTGGTGTGGCACACAACTTCTTTCCCATTTATTTTCCTCATATTTCCTGCAAATCTACATCTCAATTTCCTTCTATTTCCTACTTCCTTCCCAACACATTTAAAACCTGAAGACCAGCGCCCAGTTTCTCTTGCTGTTAAACTCATTCATGCAATTGGAGAACCAGCTATGAGAAAACAGTCACCACTCACCAAAAGACAACTTAAAGTTTCCAATTTGGTGAGCTCTAAAGAAATGATTGTTAGGGGGAATGTGTGTGCATATATATATACATATATATATATATGTATATATATATATATTTTTTTTTTTTGCAGAGAGAGAAATGGGTGAAACCCTTTTTCTTCAAATTTTCATCTGATTTAAGAGGACATTTGTTACTGAACCATGCCATCATAAAAACCTTAAATTTAAAATATATTTGCAAAATATTTTATATTAAGAGTCTGACAACAAAACTCAAAACATTTCTCTTGCATCATTGAAACCGGTGATCAAGCAAGCAAAAATAACAAAATGCAAGTGTGCCAAAGCATTAATACTTCATTTAGAGATTCTGCTCAAAGACTTTCAAGAAAGTTATTGTCAAAGGATGCTCACCAATGTCAGTAACTGAATCCTTTCCAAAATGGAGAAATAGGCAGATCTCATTATTTTGTAATTCATGTACAGTAAGTTACTTTATTCTACCATGCAAAATGAGTTAACTGAAGCTATTTACAAATTACTATAACAAAACTGCAGAAACCTAGACTCTGCTTTAGTCTGGAGTGTCAGTGATATTCATGCTACAGAGTAGAGCTCTCTAAAGCTCCTTATTGGCCTTATGCAATTTAGAACTTAGTGCAGCAATCTTCCCGACTCTTAAACTTCAAAACCGCATAGTTATATGTAGTAGCCATCATGTAGATCAGCTGGTGGAAGAGAACAAAACAGGACAGTAAGATACAGGCAGTGAGGGCCAATGTTGCGACACTTCTAAGTTTGGGCAGGGTAGGTGTCAGCCCATAGTCTACAGTGGTTCTTTCTCCCCACTTGTGGTCACAACAGACGTTTTTCACATGTAGCACACACAACCGTTTCCTCATCACACACACACAATCTCATTTCTTGGCTCTGCCCTCAGTAAGCTTGTGAAAAGCCTGGGCTGTATGTCAAGAATAACAAGATGGAGAGCTGGTCAGCAGCATGGGAAGACTGAAGCTCAAGGCTTTATTTCCCCTCATCTTTCCCCAACTGCCTGCTCAGCAGCAATTAGCCCACTTCCGGCCTACTGCTCAGCCAAGAGAACAGGTCACCACCGGGCTCACATAGGCTGCTTTTCTTTGTAGACTGTCCTAGGAGGGAACAGACTAATAGCTAGAAAAACCAGGAGTGACTCATTTCCAAGCAGCTGAGATGTCCCCCTTGCTCTACCGATCTTAATTGGTTTCCTTCAAATCACAAACCAAGCCCTCTCAACTTACACACACAAGGCAGTGTGTTTGTACAGTTGATCCTTCTTATGTGCAGATCTCAAGTTTGCCTACTTGCTAAGATGTGTAACCACCAAAACAATACAGGGCATTTTCTCAGTTGAGAGTGGATGCGTGGAGGGCTGTGGAAGGTTTGAGTCACCTAATGCCATGCGCACACTCCTAGCTGAGGTTGAACAAGGTGGCATTCAGCCGTTCTGCTGCTCGGTGCTCAGGCTATAAACAAGTGTTCTTCTGGAGAGACATTTAGTGCCACTTGATTGCAATTTTTGTTGCTTTTGTGATGGCTCAGGAGAAGGCTGTGATGTGTTAAAGAAGTGTCATTCAGACCTGAGTGACAGTGCTGTTGGCCATGAATTAAATTGTAATGAGCCAGCAATATGTCCAAAATGAAGTGTCTACACCAAAGCACAGGTTATGTAGGGCCAGGCTGGTGACAGTGCTATGAGCAGAGGCTCACAGGAACCCTGCCCTGTATTTGCCCGGTAGTCACTATCTTATGTTTGAAGTGACTTTATATAACATAACTACTACACATAGTGAAATCAACTATATATGTCTAATATACGTACACATGCATTTTCCATTTGGAAGTTAAAGATTTCTTTGCAAAGAAATAGGCAGTGCCTCGTGTGAGCATCTGCCTATGAGTGAAGTCATGAGACTATGTGCTAAGTACAACAAGGCAATATGCTAGGGCTAGTTGACAGGTGTTGGAACCCTTTCTTCCTCCTACAGAGTCCAAATCACATTGCCTGCAATCGGTGCCAAGGCAGCCACTAGTACTTCCTGCAAACTAGACATGCGGTAAGTTTATGCAGGTGACAACCAAGGATGAGTGGCAGGACTGTTTGCTTCTGTAGGCTGGTAAAAGCTGGAAGGGAAATCTGTCATTTAGAGGCTGGGGGATGAGGAGAGCTAGACTAGGGTGGTCCCGGGGTGGTTACTCACCAGGGCAATGACGGTGGCACCAGCTCCAGCGCAGGCCACAATGAACAGGTGGTAGGACATGTAGAACTAGGAAAGAACAGGGCACCAGCGTAAGCATTTGGGGAGGGGGGGTGGCCTACGTGTGTTCTGGAGTGCGGCCACAGCCTTCTCTGCAGCTGTGCTCTGCAAGCTTGGGCTGCAGGTTGGAATCACAGGGGAGCTTTAGAAACATTCTGATGCCAAGGCTGCACCCCAGACCAATGACATTTGAACACTGGGGCCCAGCCTCAGCTGTCGTACTCTGTACTGGGCCTGGATGACTGTGGGCGTGCAGCATGACTCAAGCCAGTCCATGTTGTGGATGTACAGCCTGACAAGCCACAAAGGGAGGGCTGAATGTTTCTGTAAGTCACTGCTTTTGGAAAACACCTTGTTGGTATTTTTGTAGTTATGTAAGCTCCCACCAGTGCATTAGGAATTTTGCTTTATAAACAGAAGCCCATAACTGAAGAATATTCTAAGGTTGAAACAGTTTAAACCAAGTCATTATAATATATTGCTAATTAAGGATGAATGAAAAGTAGAAATAAGGGCAAGTCATTCTTGAAATAATAACTGTGACCTCTTATTAAAAATCGGTATATGCACAAATCCTGGGGAATCTTTTCTACAAAAATTAATTTAAACATTTTTCTGTGATACATGCTCTACCTGGATTTCTGAAGCAGAACTAGAAGAATCAATTCTCAGATTTGCAAGTCTGAGGTCAGTTAAACTATTGCCCAAAGGAAAAGCTCACCGCCAGTCCAGAAGGATCCTCAGTGATATGAAATGACCATTTTTGTAGGTCAAAAATGATTGAATAGTGATGGTAACATAGACTTCCCAAGAGGGGGCATACACATATGGAAATGTTACAGCGAACCCCACAGATTGGTGCAATTAATGTGTGTTACATCTGCAGGAAGGAGCTTTGCTTGATAGCATTCTGGCCATCTCCAGTGCTCTTCCCAGCCGGGAGAGCCCTCTTTCTCAGCCTGATGTGTGCAGGCAGCATGTGTGAGCCCTCTGAGGTGTGCAGGTTTACCTCATTGGTATTGCAGATGTTCTCCAGGGCGGAGCCACAGATTTTTCCTGGGAAAGCATTCCAAGGGATGATACCTGCAAAATGAATCCCAACAGATTAGTAGGAACTACAATGCCTCAATGTTTTTGTTCTTGTCTTTATGGGGTGGGGGAGGTGCGGGGGATGGAATCCTGGTGACTCATGCCTGCTAAGCATGTGCTCTACCACTGAGCTATACCCACAGCCAATCTATTTTATCTAATCTAATCTATCAATTTATTTTGGCAATACTGGGGATTTGCCCTGAGCTACATGCCCACCTTTTAATTTTTTTTTTTTTAATTTTGAAACAGGGTCTCACCAAGTCACTAAGTTGCCTGACCTGGGCTGAAACGGGATCATCCTGCCTCAGCTTCCCAGAGTGCCAGGATTATAGGCATGTAACACCATGCCAAGCTCAATCTCATGTTCTTAACAGACCTCACCACTTTTTTTCCTTTTGAAACAGGGACTAAGTAGTCCACTTCCCCACTGTGTGGCCCAGGCTGCTCTTGGACTCACTGTGATCCTCCTGCCTCAGCCACCCAAGTGCTGGGGTTATAAGGATTACAAGTGTGTGCCACCGTGCCCAGCTGTAGACCTCACCACTTCGGATGTCAGTTACAGAATAACTGTGGGCTGTGTTACTCATCAACAATTGAGGTATCTGCCATCTGCAGAACTGGCATTTGGGGCAGGAACAAAGTCAACTATTCCACGAGAGATTTAAACAGCTTGGTATTTTCCCCCACAGATTGTGCTTTTTTAGCTGAGTTGATATTTGTAAGAATTGATTTTCAGTGCTAGATTTTGCCTACAGTGAATTAATGTATGCAGTAGAGCTAAACAACTGCAGGGTGCCCTCCCCACATAGAGCGTCACCTCATGCTGTGAGCACTGGGGTCTGTGGCCGGGCTACTCACACTCTTTGTCAGTGGCCCACCGTGGGGTAAGTCCCAAAACTGACACCCAGACACTTTCGTGGCAGTTTGACAGAGTAATTTACGTTTGTTGGAATCCGATACATGCTGGATTTATATTTTGCATGTCTGTGTTGGAAACACTTGTGGCTTGAAAATCAAATTGGAAATGTAGAAAAAGGAGAAACACCACCATCCTTCACCGCAGAGGGTAGAAGCACAGTCTGGTGTGTGTCTGTCCCTGTAACTGAGTCCCTTCTGCAGGGAGAATTGTCACTGGGCTGCTGCTCTTTTCCCCTTATAATGTACACATGTGTGCTTGGATATTCGGCACAGCTCAATTCACACTTCTCCCAGCAGGTAAGGAAGGTGTTCTTCAAAAACAAAAAAGCCCATAACCTTATTACCTCTACTCCTGACCCATGCCAAGAGTAGATATGCATGGGAAGAATGGGAAGTTGTCAGTGAAATCACTGATTTCAAGAATAACTGGTTGGGCAAATTCAGATGATTTAAAAAGATGATTATTAATCATCAGAATCTGTGGCAAAAATAGTTATTTTTAAGAACTAGGGAAATGATATACTTTTAGATATTCTTTAACACATGCTTTGAAAACCAACTTCAGGCTCTGACTTTAAATCCATCATGAAGAACAGAGTAGATAGGCCCGGGTCTTTGTGAAAAGAGATTAGTCCCCTGGGCAGTTTTCTGTGAGCTTCCTATTACATTGTAAGATAAGATGTTGAGAATAAACCACATGAGAAAAACAAGCAGCAAAACTGAAATGGTCATCCCTCTTCAGAAAAGCTCAGGAAGGACAATTATTTCCTCTTTGATTCTAATGAAAGCCCTTTTCCACCCTAGCTGTTTCTGCCAAGAACAGATTTCCTACCATCCTGGCCGGAAGCAATAATTAGACTCCTTCCTTAGGATGCTGCCTGCTCTCACTCAGCAGGGAAGTTGAGTCCCAAATTAATTGACAGTAAGAGCCAGTGGCCCCTTGTGTGGCTTGTCACAAGGAACCAACCATAGTCCCCTATTGTGAGGAGCCCATTCATTAGAGAAACCATTTGAACTGGTTTCCAACAGCTGAAAGCAGCTTTCACAGACAACATCCTGAGAACTCTCAAGTCCATATGGATTTCATATGTTGCATTTTTCAGCAGGGATGAAGTTTAAAAAGTTGGTTATTTAAAACCTTGATTTAAAGAGTCAGATGGGCAAAAATTAGTTGGATTGTATAATGTGTGCAGTATTGTTTTATATGAAAAGTCAGTTATAAAGTGAAGAGACTAAAGAAAAGTACATAATCTTTTTAGGATGGCTGTCCAGAAGTCTTTTTGATTGAAACGCATTATAAAGTAGTTCTGCATTCTAAAAAGGTTCTTTACACACCTAACTTGAAAATACAGTCTAACAAAATCTTGAATGATACCCACCAGCAAGTAAAAGCCTGAGTGATACTTTCACCCAGAAAACAGCATATTGAGGGAAAGAGCATAAACTACTCAGCAGGATGGCTGAGACAAGATGGGTGATTAAAAACATCCCCCTGCAGTAAGCAAGGCCCAGGCATGTGCACAAGGGCGTTAAGAGAAAGTACCGTATTGCCGCACATCCACGCAGATCTGCTCCACGCCCGTGGTGCCGTTGGTTGGTGGTGACTTGATGACCTCACAAGTGGACCATATGTTGTAAAACATGAACACAGGCACTGCCGAGAAACCAAACACACCCAGCCAGGCCACACCAAGCACATAGGTGAGGAAGACGAACTAGGCCAAACACAAAAGGGAGGAGAAAGAATCATCACTGAAACGGGCAGGTGCAACTCTCAGAGGAAGTACCAACTGTGCATTTCTGGGCCCAGTCCTAAACCTGTGGGATGCAGGATGCATCCGGGGACCCCACCCTATTGTGGTAGCGAGAAGGAAACACCAGTGCAGAGTAGTGGTGCAGGGAAGCCAGAGCTGGCTGTGCTCCTCATAGAACATTCCAGAATGGGAGTGTCAGAAGCGAACTCGGGCTTTTCAGGTCCCTCTTTTTAACCATCAAGGACATGGGACTCCAAGAGGTGACTTTATTCACCCAAAGTCACAGGGCTAATTAGTGACAGAGCCTCCCACGAGGTGCTCTGTCAAACATCATTTCCCAAAACTGCGCATCCTACCTAACACGGCACAGGCTCCGGATGCTTTCACAGCCTCCTGAATCAGAGGACCCCATTAATATCTCAAAACTTATTACATGTGGGTACAGCAATTGCTATGGGAAGCCTTCTCTTGAAAGCAATAGTGCTAGTTTCCTGATCTGTGAAATTTCTAAAGCACTAGATGCGTGAACCTTTATCAAAAGTTCAAACAGTCCAAAACACAAGCGGAATGCCCAGTGAACCTGATGTGGTGCTCGTTTTCCTCTAATTTTCTTTCATGCCTGAGATTCACAGCACCCCACAAGCAGAGCAGTGGCTTAGAGACAGGTTCCTTGCCGTGGCCCACATGTTGCCATGGGTGATCGCAGGAAGAATGTAACCCCAGAGCTTGCCTTTCTTCGTAACTGGCCCTGACTACCAATTTTCACAGAGCTTTGAAAGGCTGCCTCCAACATGTGGTATTTCTATTCTCAGAACGTGCACCCACAGGGCGTGGTCAGGTTTGGCGTTTCTTTCTTCAAGCTAACGGTGGAGACCTGAGGATTCCACCTCACATTTTTTATGGTGGCCAGAGACACCTGGACAGTAGGAGGCCGCCGGGCTCCGATAGGTTGCCTCCTCCTGGTTGCCCTGGGAAAATGCAGAAGCAAGGCACCTCTTCCTTTTCTCTCAAGGCCATTTATGGGGTTGGAAGCATTTGCATTTCTACAAATATTCAAAGCAGCAGATTTCAGTGGTCACTACCTCCCCTTCCTTTCCAGTGCTTCAGATCTGGCTGCTCCAGAGGAGGGTGACTTTTTATTTCCTCATCAAAACAAGCAAACAAAAGACCTTGGGAGTCTTTCTAATAACACAAGGCCTTGAAAGGGGGCTGCTGAGTCTTGGCCTTGGCGAGCCTTCCCTTCCGGGTGGTTGGCGCTCCAGAGGGAAGGCCAGTGCCCAGCGGAGAGCACTGGGGGCTGTTCCTGTCCCAGCGGCCACCAGCATTCAGAGCTGCCTTCTCAGCAGCCTCCTGGGTGTGCCCCCCACCCCTAAGGAGTGGGGAGAGCGAGGCTTGGCACCATCAGCCCCACTCCTCCCTCCGTTGTCCTGTGAACCTGACCTTAAAATGCAGAGGGGCAAGGAGAGTCCTATTCGGGACCAGGGAGGTTCAAATCAACAAGAAACTGAATGGTTCAGCAGCTGAGGGGCGAGTTTTGTCCCTGTGGGAACACTCCCCATGGAGACCATTACTTGTCCTGCAAGGACTGTCCTTGTTCACACATTTATGCAATGCACAGGGAGGAGGCAAAGATGCCAAAGAGCAACAGGGGCCAGGCAAGGCTGGGCCTATGGTTCCCAACAGGAGGAGTGGTCATGGCCCCACTGCCCTCAGTCAGACTGTGACATTCCTAGCCTTGTCTCCCTTGTGCTGGGGGGCTGAGGATTGGGCCCAGGCCCTGTTGGAAGCCAGTGGTACACAAGAGAGTAGGAGCTCAAGGCCAAGTAGTACAAGGTGGCAGAGGCAGCTGGTGGAGGCTCAGGGAGCTACACAGAGACCAGGATGGCATGGCGGGCAGTCTGGGCATTTCCATGGACGCCAGGGAGGCCATCTCGGCCTCGGATGCCACCTGCCACAGCCTCTGCATGACTGTGAGGAGGGATGACACACAGGCCCTGAGGTTACACTCAGTGATCTGGACCCCTTAGGGGCATCTCTGGCTGCCACTCCTTCCTTGCGCTCCAAGACCTTACTGCCTCCCTGGCTGATCTTCCTTTGTTTCCTTTGAGGCTTCAGCCTACCCGGTAGATGACACTGGGCACCAGGACTCTCCTTCCTCAAGCCTCCTCAGCATGGTCTTGTTCACAACCACTGCTCTTACACGGGCCACTTTCAGTCCCCTCAGCCTCTATGCAACACAGCCTTGTTCAGCCCTGATGTGTCACCTGGAACCCACAGCCCCCTCGGCACATTGACCTAGCAGGAGACTCTGCACTCATTCCCTCCCCTCATGCTCAGTCCCCGGCCATGCCTGAAGCCCACTTCCCCCTCAGTTTTTGAATCTGTCCCTTGTCCTCCACCCTCTGCCTGGGCTTAGTGCACACCTCCAAAGTTGCCCCCTTGTGCCTCCAACAGCACAGCACTCGGGGCCTAGTGCAAAGCCCTCCGGATGCCACACCACACAGCAGTGCCCTCCCTCTCTGTGGCCCTGCTGCCCTTTAGCCATGGACAGGGAAACGCACCGAGGGCTGGGTGGAGCAGCAGCTGGGCCGCTCCTGTCAGCCCTTCTGGGACTAGGGCCACAGCCACCCACAGCATCCTCTTGTTTACCTTGAGTGGCTTACTCCTCATAGTAGTGTCACAGGGCCCAGCCTGGACTACGGGGTCTCAGAGGTGGCACAGGGTTCCACCCCAGGCAGCAGGGGGACTCCTTCTGGAGGACTGGCCTGGAGCTCCAAGAGAGCTCACTGATCACTATCCTCACTGATAGCGGCGCTCACTGGGGCACCCCAAGGAGCCTGGGCCCTGTGGTGACATCTTGTCTTCCTTAGCAGAAGGCTGAAGTGAGCCTGGCACTTCCTCCTCACTGTGAGCCTCCCTTGACTCCCAAAATGTTTCCTTTATACCTGACCATTGTCCAAAAGCCACACCAACACGGCCAGCTGCTTGTGAGGCGTTGTGACCTGGGTATGCCATTATCAACTCCAATTCAAAAGACACACACATATCAGGGCTTTTTTGGTACTGGTGATCAAACTCAGGGCCTCGCACTTGCCAGGCAGGCACTGCACCGCTGAGCTACATCCCCGGAATGAAATATGTCTTTACAAGAGTCCTCCAATTCTGTGTGGCCCCAATCAATCCTCACACATGCTTCTTTCCTCCTAGGAGCAGGTCACTGCCAGTTTTCCTCTCACAGTGCAGCATCTTTTTTTCTTCTTCTTTTTTGTCCTGGGGATTGAACCAAGCGCCTTCATACTGAGCTCCATTCTCAGGCCCTTTTGCACTTTTTATTTTTAGACAAGGTCTCACTGAGTCATTAAGTTGCCCAGGCTGGGCTTGAATTTGCAATCCTCCTGCCTCAGCCTCCCTAGTGCTGGGATTACAGGTGTGTGCCACCTGGCTAGCTAGCTATTTGTAAGATCTGTTGTCCTCTGGAGACCAGATGCAAATGGATCAACTAGGATGCCAGTGTTCATCCCAGCTTGAATTATGTAATTTTCACAGGAGGTGAAATACTCACTTGGCTTTTAAAAGCCAAGTCATGTAAAGACATAAAATTCATCCTCAGGTCTTAAGCTACATAAAAAGAGACAGGAGGCTGAATGTGACACACAGGCCACTGTTTGCTATCCATGTCTTAGACTTGAAGCTCCTGGAGGAAGAGCCTGATTTAACCTCTACACCTGCACGGACTAGCAAAGTTCAGCTAAGGCTTGGTACGGTACATAGCACACGCATGTTTTCATGCCACTAACATTCAAAGATGAATGAAGGGAAACAGCGAGAAAGTAGGAAAGCTATCTCCTTCTCTAGTGGGAACTTTACATTTGAAAAATCTCCAGTACCCTTATTATCTTTATGTTACTAAGGGAAATGTCTGATGTGATATTCCCAGCCATAAATTTTAACTTATCAGAATACCATATCGGAGGATTGCATGTTGCTAATTGCACAATGGGAAGACCAATATTTGAATCATGGACTCTGGAGTAGATCACGGGTTTTTTCACCCCATCAAGAGCAGTTGGCACAGGTGCAGCCCGGGGTGTGGGTCGGGCTCTCACTCACCATCCCGCTGATGCACCGGCCACAGGCAGTGGTTTTGAACTCTCCGTGCAGTTCCTTCACCGCGCTCGTGGTGTAAAAGCCTTCTGCCAGCAGAATGATGCCGTACAGGAAGAAAAAGGATGCAATTCCATAGATGACATACTGCATCAGCTGTATCCTGCACACACAAGTAGAGATCTTGAAATGTGAATTCACCTCATGGTCCTGTGCAGTGAAGGGCAGAATCCTCATTTTGTACAGAAAGCAGGCACTGAGTAATTAAGTTACTCGCCCAAGGATGTTTGGCGACAGAGCCAGCACCTGAACTATGGTTCAATGGACAGCATGTTTCTGCCATATCCAAAGGTTTCCAGGACAGGCCTGGTGGTTAATGTCAATCAGCTCAAACTAAGCACACACTCCGGGCATCTTTAAGGAGTAACATGGGCAGATGGCATTTGCAATGAGATCCCTATACATAAGCAATAGTATGTCAAGTATTTTTTGTTTTTGGTACTGGGGATTGAACTCAGGACCTTGCACTTGCGAGGCAGGCGGCAGAACCACTGAGCTAAATCCCTGGCCCCTGTCAAGTGTTTTTTTTGGGGGGGGGGACAAGGTCTTGATATGTAGTTCAGGCTGGCCTTGAACTCACTATGTAGCCTAGGCTGGCCTCAAATTCGAGGCAATCCTCCTGCCTCAGCCTCCCGAGTGCTGGGATGACAGGCGTGTGCCTCAAGTGGGTTTAAGTTACAGAAAGTGAATTCACAAGTAAGTTTGTCCTACAACAGCAGACACAGACCCAGGTGACAGGAAGGGACTTTTGGCTGCCCACTGGAACTGAAATCACTGGCACCTGGATGGATCTCATGCCCAGAGATTATGGCTTCATTGGTCTTGGGTGAAGCATGGCATTTCTTAAAGCTTCTCAGAAATCTGAGCTCCTTTTGGAATGCGATCACTCTGAAATGAAATCAGCACACGTTCCCCAGGTTCCGCCTTGGTAAACAGCCCTTCTCCACACAGAGTTGGTACATGAGCCCCTTTTCTGGTTTGATCCCTCTCTTGGAACCTCCCAGATGCCTCTTCATCTCATGAGTATTGCATAAAAATTCATTCTTGCTTTTTTCACTGTGATAGAGAAACTTTTTACAATATCCAAATCACATCAACACCCTGAAGGTTTGGGATTAAAGGAAAGAAAATGAAAATGCTAAAGGAATGGGGGAAAGGGGAGATACTCAAAGGAAATAAGTCTATTGCTGCAGAGCTTGTCTCATCAGGAGACTGTGCTTGCGAGCTGTTGAGAATTGTTCCAGAATGGGAAGGCAGAGATTTGGGGCTAATTCCCAGAATTTCCCCTTTTTTGCATTAGAGGATGCTCTAGGATTTGTTCTTCTGATGGAAGAGTTTATGTTAAATACTGTTCCTGAAGGCACAGAGTTGGGGTTGGCCCTCGGTGGGGCTCCTGTCACCAGGGATGGTCACTTCCTACAAGGAAACCGGATCAGCAGCATCAACCTGTCACCCTGTCACACGCCTCCACGTCTGCACCTACTGTGCGAAGCTCCCTGTGTGCACACCTGGGGCCCAAACACTGCCACATTGCTTGGCCATTTCTGTTTCCTTTCCTCATGGACTTTTTTCTATCTGCACGAAGTGACCTTTAATTAAAAGCATCAGTTGTCTGCCAGGAGAGTATGGGGTAGTCTTTAGGAAAATGTTGCTGGGTGGTTGCATCTCACATGTTTTGTTGTTTTTGTTTTGTTTTGCACTAGACATTGAACCCAGGGCCTTTTCCCTAAGCTACATTCCAAGCCCTTTATAATTTTTTTTTTTTTAATTTTGAGACAAGATCTTGCTAAGTCACTAAATTTTCCAGGCTGGGCTTGAACTTGTAATCTTCCTGCCTCAGCCTCCCAGGGTACTGGGATTACATGAGGGTACCATGATGCCTCGCTTCAAACACACTTTTAAAGGGCAGCAGATACTTACACTTCGCTCAGCAAGGCGTGGTCACTGGTGTTGGTGGAGAAGTGTTGCTCGAGAATTGCCACGGTGCCCGCCAGAGCCACATGCCCACAGCCGCAGAACAAGGCGACTCCGGAGAAGCACAGGATGGTGGCCACCAGGGAGGCATAGGGGACTCCTCCCAGACACTTGATGCAGCATTCAAAGCAGCCTGGACCCAAAGGAGAGAAAAGGCAGCCATGATGGGCCTCATGAACACTGCCAATGAACATGAAAGCTTTGCTTCTTTATCTTCCCACTCAGGCTCTGTGGCTGATACCTCAAAGTCCTCACACCAGGAGGTACTTCCCACGGCCATGCACGCTGTGGGGACATGAGGACTCTGAGGCTTCAGGAGAGAATCTGCTCAGGGTGGAAGGGTAGAGAGTGACAAACAGTTATGGAGTCCGTCCCGATTCTAGAGCTTTCTGACAGGGGCGAAGGGACCCTGCCCAAGTGACATTCCACTAACAAAGCCATGGAGAGTAGCAGGGAAACTGCAGCTCTGGGGAGAAAAGTGACATCCAGGTTTTCTCCAAACCCAGCCTTCTGGAGTCACAAAGACATCCATCGCTGTAGCGGCCCTAACTTTCCCCGAGCCCCTGACCTCTCAGGACAGTGGAAGAATCTGGTACCATAGTTATACTGTCACTGGGTTTGGAAAAATGTCAATGCGGTCATTTTGGAAAGTTAATAAATACTTGGGTCCCCAGCTCAGTGAAGTACAAAGTCACCAAGATCCACTCAAGTGGGCCCATTCATTTCATTCTCATTGGTATTAGAAATTACCTCCACTTTGGAAATAAAATGCTCCCCCCAGCCCAGGGAGCACAAGCAATTCATTCACAATCCTCCTCCTCCACTTCCTCCCCCACCATCCCACCCCACCTGGGCTGCCATCTGTCCCCTTCCCCAACACACATGTCCAAGACAGAGCCCCGATCTGGTGGGTGATATTTAAGTACTTGAAGGGGGAAAAGGAACAAAAGAAAAAAAAAAAGACAAAATGAGCATCCATGAAGTGAAATGAAGGAGACAGAACCATATTTCACTCTTCATCTTGCAAAGATGAAACTCTTAACTCATTTTAAAAGTAAACGTTTACTTGAGATTTCCACAAAGGCCTCTCTGATGGGCAGAGCTAGATGGCATTTTCACTTTGAGACATTTCTGTTTCAGGACACCAGTGCTGGCCTCAGGATAATGTCAGTACCTTTCTGATCTCCCATCCCCTTCACAGTCTCTAGATCCTAAGTAAATGGCTTGTCAGGGGAACTGAACTTTAAAATCAAGAGCAATTCATGACTTTAGGGCCAGCACATTAAGGCAGTTCAGTTTCTTTGCCCCAAATGGTCTTCAGAGTATTCAGAGAATGAAAACCCAGCCTAATATGCCAGAGGTGAACCTCTCTACGGGGATGAACAGCATTTGCTTAAACTGACCACGGAACATGACTGCCACTCCCTTACCAGATCTCTCTTCAGTTTATTGGAAAATAAAAAGTGTCAGGGCTTCATAAGAAGCCTGTGCTTCCTTTCTTAATTTTTATTTGTATTAGTACATGTCTGCGGTACATAATGATTACATTCACCATGGGGAGTTGGTACATGGACATAACACATCTTAATTTTTAGCTTGAACTTCCGCTTCCTTTTATTTCAAAAGGTGTCCAACCAGCTGTCTTCAGGAAGATCACCCGCTCTCAAACCAATTTAGGAAACCTCAATAAAATGGGAACCCCTGCACAACATGGTTCAAGTTCAGCAGCAAGTCAGTACCTTAAAGAGATGTAGACACAACATTGGTGACCAGGGATGGAGGAGCTCAATCTTTTTTTTTTTTTTGGTACCAGGGATCGAACTCGGGTCCTTGCGCTTGTGAGGCAGGCGGTGGAACCACTGAGTTAAGTCCCCGGCCGGAGGATTTAACTTGTTTTGTCACCTGACTTTCTGGAGACTGGGGTGAAAGGACTGTAAAGAAGTCGAAATTCTCTCCAGACCCCCAAATCCTTGGCTTGGACATGTTCCGTATGCACAGAGGGACAGACCTGTGTGTATCGTGTCTTTCACAACCTCCCCCATGCATAGCCTCTCTCATGGTTCGAAGGACAGCGCAAGGCCTACTTTCTCGGCTAGCGCAGCTATGTCTGGTCCTTGCAGGACAGAGATGTGTGGCCTTGGCATTGTGCTGGACAAAAAGGCAGCCACTAGCAGATGTGGCTAGTTACACCCAGCTTATTTACACCTGAAAGGGAAAACACAGGTCTGTAATTGCACAGACCACTTTTCACACATGCAGATGTCACTTATTATAGTGGCCATGGCAATGGACAATGTAAACAATATTTTATCATCACAGAACACTGCTTTGGAAGACTTCTTCTTTTACTGCGTGGTACTGGGGATTGAACCTAGGGCCTTCACACTGAGTTATATCACGACTCTTTGAGACAGAGTCTTGCTAAATTGTCCAGGCTGGGCTCCAACTTGTGACCCTCCTGCTTCGGCCTCCCTGGGATTACAGGTAAGCACCACCATGCTTGGTAGGAGACATATTTTGACTTGCCATATATTCAGTTCTTTTGTAATATAAATTGGGTTCTAACTGAGGTTTTCTTTGGCTTTCATTAATTCGGTATTTTTGAAGACCTACCAGGTGGGTGACAAGTACTGGTCTTTGCACTGTGGATCCTCATCCTGGCCTTCAAGGTCAGTCTAATGCTGTCGCAGGCAAGAAACACATTCAGTAGGGCAGGGGGAGATCTGGACAGCTGAAGAGCCCAGGAGGAGGGGAGAAGGGAATGGAATTCAGACCAGAGAGGGAGCAGCAACCCCTTTCTACAGCATAATATGCAGAAGGCTTCAGTGACTGACACAGTGACACTGGTAAAATGCCCATTAACTTCTGGGTACTTTTAGCAAAGCCTTCCTCATCATTTAGAGCTAGGGTTAGGTGTTATGGTGTAGCCACACAAGCACCCCTTAACAATAGAACACATCCTCCCCAAGCCACGGGTGCTGCTTCAGAAACATGTTTCATCCAGAGTCAGAGCCTTCTGACTCTTTCAAAGCAGACTCCACAGCCGCTCTCAGGCTCAAAGACACGTGGGCTTAGAAGAACGATGCTGGCCAGTCCCAAATTCAACACTAGATCAAGGCTGAAGTTTCCCTCCAATTTATGTCTCGTAAGGACTCCATGCACCCCATGCTGGGGAGTTGGTTTCCTAAAAGCAGAGAAACAGGGATTCAAGAAGCTGAGTGACCACATCAATGAATCAGAGTCTCTCAGCAGACACCAATGGCCTGATGTTTCCAGTAGCCGATTTAACATGTGGCAGGAGGAACCATGGCTCCTAATTCTACTCATTCTTTATAGAAAAACTTTGCAAGGTGGGTGTGTGGTGGTCCGTGCCTCTAGCTCACTACTCTGGGAAGTTGAAGCAGGAGGATCACAAGTTTGAGTCCATCCTGGGCAACTTACAAGAACCTTATTTCAAAATATAAAATAAAAAAGTCTGGGGATGCAGCTTAGTGCAAAGGCCCTGAGTTAAACTCCCAGTATGAGGGAGGAAATGAAAAAGTTTGCAAATCTATATCTAAAAGCACTGGTTGGCATTCAGAGTATGGCTTCTGGACCAGCATTATTATCATCTAGGAACACATGAACATGCAAAGTCTCAGGCCCCATCTCCCCCAGGACAGCTAAATCAGAACCTCTGAGGGTGTCCCCAGTGTCTGCATTTCAACAAGTCTTTTGGGCAATTCTCATGTACATTCAACTTTGGGAGTAACTGTCCCAAAGAATCATGCAAGCTGCTGGCTTTTATGAGCAGCCAAATTCTACCACCATCAAAATCAGACTCCAAGAATGATTCCCCACCTCGGGTCAAGGTAGAGGAGCAGGGACTGAGCGTCCTCCTGTCTGAAAGAGCTAGAAACCTGGACAGAATATATGAACCAGTGATCTTCAAGGTATCAGACGTCAGGCTATGAAGAACCATCCATGTTCTTAAAATACAGAACCAAAGAACTAACATCAGATGATCTGGAACTGCTCTCAAAGAAGCAGGTAGGACATCTTCATCTGGAGGCTCAGCTCAGCCTTCACTCAAACCAAAAGACCCCAACGACTTTGCCATTACCTCTCTGTGTCTGCCCGCACATTAGAAACCTAGAGCCTTCAAACTGAGCTACATCCCAGCCCTTCTGAAAATGTTTTATTTTGAGACAAGATCTCATTAAATTGCCTGAGCTGAAACTTGAGATCTTCCTGCCTCAGCCTCCCAGAGTGCACTCCCAGAGTGCACCACCACACCTGGCTGTGCAGGGGTGTCTTGGAGCTACTGTTTCATTGACACTCCCGTGAGCCAGAGAGAAGGCAGAGGCAAGGACAACAGCATGGAGTAGGGGCGGCAGCTAGTCTTTCCTCATTCTTCGAAGACTGAGCTCCATCCCAAGGGGCGTGCTGACAGGTGTGGTCTGCACTCTGTTGGAGCCACAGTCTATGGGGCGAGGGTGCACACGCACCAGACTGCTTTAAGATCAGAACTCCAGACAACAAGAGGCTGACTCCGGTTTCTGGGGATGACCAGACTAGGGAAGGAGGTTTCTGGAGCTCAGCTCCCAAGGCTGCATCTGAGTTTACTGGGTAAAGAGCAGACAGGATGGGAAGCAGAGTGAGCCAGGAAGCAGGAGGAAGGTGAACCAAAGTGCCCCTCAGGTGAGAGCAGGGTTTGTGCGTGGGTCACCTCAACGGTGACAGAAGCCAGAACATCCAGGGAGAGAAGCCGGAGTGTGGATCGGAGCGGGGGTGGCAGGGCGCCCTGGGAACTAGATGGATGGTGTGGGTTTGCACTTGGGATCCCGGACTTCACCTCCAGAGTCCCGAGGTGCTGCTGAGCCTATGAAGCTGGGGAACAGATTGGGGTTAGTGAAGATCCCGCTAGCTGACATGCGGGGGTGTGCGGGTCAGCTGTTCCCGAGAGCGAAGGTTGGATGCCCACAGCTCCCGCTGGGCAGCAATGGAACTTGCAGGGGCAGAGAAGAGACGAGCAGGGAAGTCTGAGAAGCCTGTTTCTAGCCAGCAGCCGCATCTGCCCAGGCTCAGGTATGGCACCCTGAGTCTGCTTTCCTGTCTAATGGCTATGGTTTTCTCCCTAGGGAGGCAGGGGCT